TTTACTTACTGCATATAGTCATATACACATGCAGTAAGGGAGTACTACTATACTCCGGGATTTCACGGTGTGAGTTATGCATTTTATTGTACGGAGTATTACTTTATTTCAATTAGTGCCCCCCTCTACCTTCACCCCCCACCCCTTTGCGATTAGTGAATTACTCTATATATGGTTGATATATAATATGTTTCTTGCTGGATTTTTGCAGATCCCAAAGAATCAGAGAGCGCACGCCCAGCTAACATGCATCACGGCATGGAAGTGAGACTTGGGCTGTCCAAAGGACCAGTTTGCCCCAATTTCATTTGAACTGTTCTGTTGCTGTGGTTGATTCACTTTCAATCACAACTGCTTACTTCTCATGTGTATCTTATTATTGTTATTCTATCTTCACATGAGCAGAAACTAGTGTGCTAAAGATTTCTGACTTTTGATTTCAAATTCTGAAGAACTCAGATTCTATTACGCGTATTAAGATGGGTCTTTAATCCCCCATCATGGTTTATAATTTTGTGCCAAGTAATCCCTAATGATGCATCGGAATAGGTCAAAACTCGTGCGTAAGATGCCCAATTTGCTGAGACGGCTCACTTGTAAGTTGTAACAAGCTTTATGCTTCATTATTAGGGGTGGGCACGGGCCGGTCCGAGCCCAAATTTATATAAACCGGACTCGGCTTGTTTTTTTTTAAAACGGTCCGGGCCTGAACGGGTTTTCAAAATTTTAAAACTGGAACCGGACCTAACTCGGCTTGTTTGAAATGGGCTGATTCCACGGGTCAACGGGTCCGAACCTATCACAATACTAACATTCTTCAAAACAAATAGAAATTATAGAATAATGCCTTCAAAGTTCAAAAAAAGGAATAAATGAAAAAAAAATAATGACAAAGAGGGGCATGAGAGTAAAATGTACACTCCATGATCATCTAACAACAACAAAAAGAAGACAACCACATTTTGGCATTATAATATCGATATGTTTCAAAAAGAGCAAAATTGATAATCTTCATGACTTCCAAAAAATTCAAAAAACCTGCAAAAAACAATTGGAATATGGAAGGACTGAAAGAGTTACTAAAATTAATTGGAATAGGTGGATATACCGTATATTTACTAAAAAAATACTCCGTATTAAAAATAATATTAATATTTAAAAAATGGTCCAGTCTGGGTCCCAAATAATTTCAAAATGAAGAACCGGATCGAACCTAAAATCTATAGGAACCGAACCGTTTTAAATTTTTGAAATGACGACCCATACCTAACTCGGCCCGAACCTGGTGGTTCGGTTCCGACTCGCGGTTCCTGGACCCGAATGCCCACCCCTATTCATTATACTCCGTCTTTGTCTGGGGCGTAGCTTGGATGGAAAAGAAAGGGTGCAAAATGGATAATGTCTGGGTTTGATTTTTGGCAATTGCAATGATGAACGATCATGTGTAACATGAAGTACTTATACGTGTTTGTCGCCATATAATTTAACTGTCACACCTTTTGTTCAACACTATATATTTATTCTACCCTTCTAAGAAAAAAAGGTTTTGAAGGAGCTTAGAGGGATGAAGAATAAAATAAAATAAATTTCTAAAAAATTTTCATGAGATAAATTTAATAAATATTATTTGTATACTACTCCATCTGTTCTAAAATTAATTTCCTAGTTTGGCCTATATTATCAAAAATTTTCAACTTTGATTGCATATTATAAAAAACTATATTGAATTTTATATAGATTTAGTATCAATAAATTTATTTTGCAATATATTGTTGAAATACTTTATTTTGGTAATAATATATTTATATATAAATAAATATATTGATAATCAAAGTATTGCATGAGAGAGTATAAAAAATCAAATAAAAATAGTTTTAAGACAGATAACGTAATATACAATATATGATTTATATTTAATTAATGATTAATGCTCATTCAATTTATGTCAAAAAAGTGGATGCATAATTAAGAAAAAAAAAGAAATTCACTAGCACTTGTATTGTCCTTTACTTCTTCAAATATCTCATTAATTGATAATTATCATTAAATGACATAAGTGAAGCAAAAGACAATACAAGTGTTAAAGAAAGACCTCTGAACCTCACTGGGTTCAGACTGGACTGTTATCCTAAGGCCATTTATTAAGGAAAACGAATCTCTTGAGAATTCTGTGTGGGAAAGGACTAAAATAGGAACTAGGGTTTTCTTCAAAAATCATGGAAGAAGATGGCCGCTTCCCGTGTCGTAGACCGCTCTAGTTCACAGTTCAACGCTGAGGGAGGGAGGGAGAGATGAAGAAAGCTGAGCGAGAGAGATTGAACAGACTGTTGAACGAGCATCTCAACACCATCCACGAGACGCTTCAGGTTTGCAAACGATAATTGCTCCCTTTTTTTACTTTCCTGTTTCGGATTTCTTCCAGGCGAGCGGAATTAAACGGCGCGGTGGTGGCTTTGTATGTGCAGGTACTGGATCAATCCCCGGCTGCTTCTGCGCAAAGGACGGGCTGGAAAGATGTTGTACAAATGGGTGAACAGCTTTCCAAGCAAGCCACCAACGGTAATGATTTCAACTCTAGAGTTTTTCTCTGAATGTTTGTTATGTACTTGGAAGTCTCTTGATTCGTTTAAATTGCGAGTTTGGTAGCAAATGAACTGGTTTCCAGCCATCCTTTCATGTTTTGTGGAACTTGTGGTGTCCCTATCGTTATTGAGGGTGTTGCTTTTATAGATGAAGTCAGCTTTCTGAGTTGATTTTTAAAATGGTATTCTAATGGTTCAAGCACAGTCCATCAGGAGGCAGAGAAATGACATAATGATTTGGAATCTGAGTGTTCAAAGGTTTGAGAGTGATTGAGTTTGCCGAAGAGCATTTCAAGATTATTTTTTTTTTTGCCAAACAAGAGGTATTGGTTTGGATTCCCCTAACTCACTCCGAATACAGAGAGAACCATATGGGGCCTTGAAGATTGATTACCAATACATTAGTTAGTCTAATCCCGGACCTTAGTTTTATATATAATTTCATGCTGTATATTCATTTTTCGCAAGAGTCTGAAATAGTCTATTTTCTATTTTGTTTTTTCTTATCATTCAGTTGGAATGCTTTGGACTGGAGAAACTCAAGAAGTTGCAGTGCTTGAGGACAACATGTTTGCATTTTTCAATGCGCTGCAGGGGCTGCTCTTGCTCTCACATGGAAGTACAGTGGGGGCTGGACCTACCCTTTCTGCTTGCATTCATGCATCCATAAAGCAAGTGGTTGATTGCAGTTTTGTCTTGATGAAGGATACAATTGCCACACATGGTACTCCCCTGTCTCTCTGTTAAATTAGGTTTCAAACTAGCATTTTAACCATGGTAAGGTGCATGTTTTTTATTATAATTGGGTTATGGCATGCTTGGTTGGTGTATTTAATTGGGAATGCATATATTCTCATTATATACTAGGGTTACTACTTACTAGGGTACCATTCACATTAAATATAATCATGTCCATTGCCAATGGAACTAAATCAGCCATTGTTGACACTGTTCTAGCTTTGGATCAATAATTGACTGAATCAAAATGACACGTTAATCTTCATTTTCTCCATACTTTCTATGAAGTTTTGGGCAGTAAATGCATCAATAGTCTAACAGAAACATCTTTGTTTTTCACAAGGGTAAGGATGCATACTTTTTACCCTCCACAGTTCACACCCCTACAGAGTTGGGATTAATACTAGGTTTTGTTGTTGTTGGTCTTGCATTCTCAATAAGCACAACCAAATAACTCCAAACAAATCTATCATGAATTTTTGTAAGGATTAAACTTGATGCCATAGGTTCTGTCAGCCATACCCCAAACATGCTCATAACATTATCTAGTAGGAGTAAAGTCTGCATTTATTGTGGGATTTTACTGGGTTTATTGTTGTTGTTACTGCTCATAACACTAACACATAAAATTTTCATATAACCATGGATTGCTTTTTTCTTGAAATGAACGTCTATTTCATCCGATAAATGTGCAGGACCTCGCAATAAAGCACAAAAACATTCAATCCCGCAGTTAGTTGGCACGGTGTGGGAAGCTTGTTCTGCCCTTAAGAAGACACCATCCACAAACATCACAGCAATAGGTCGGGCGCTTACACAGTCTGCCGTTTCAATGAAGGATGTTCTTCGAGAAATGAAGGAACTGAAATCATCATCTCCAGATTCAGAGGTTGATGACGAGGTTTCTGCAGAAACAGAAAGCAATCTTGACGATACAGATGATATGGGGGATCTTGGGAATGACCTGTCACCCGAAGAAATGAAAGTTGCCCAACTAACTACGGACGTGGTCTCCCAAACACTGGTGGTTATTAAGGAACTTATTCGTGCCATCACGGGATTAGTCAAGCTGGAAGCTTCTGGAAACCCTTCTGACACCTTCATAGGTTCTTTAGAGAGAATATTGAAGTTATGCCAAGAGATTGGTCTGCAAGTCGATGAACTCGGGGCTTCCCTTTATCCTCCACAAGAAATATCTTCCATTAGGGGGTCGCTGAAAATTATTTCGAGCAACACGAATGAAATGATGATGGAGTTGGAAAATCTCAAGGGATCAACGGAAGATTATAAGAACGCATGCGATGGTTTGAAAACTTCAATGGAACATTTGGCATCTGAATTGGGCTCTGCAGATTCAATCATGCAGAAATTGGAAAATCTTGCTGTGAGTGATGACTAATTTAGGTTAATTTGGCAGATGAGGTTTAGAAAGCAACAAAGTGAAGAGTTTTGGTTCCTTTTTAATGTATTATCTATAGTTGTGAGCATTGAGATATACCTAATCATGCCACGGATGACAACAAGGGTGACATCATCATTGTTTCATAGACGATGATTTCTCAGAAGAAAAATGGTAGGGTGCTCCCAAATGATTGCTACCAGTATGCACTCATGCTTGGCACGGATGATTATCATCTATGTCATCTGTGCGAAGCATGTGCACACCCCTGGTAGCAACCATTTGGAGGCACCCTAGCATGACCCTTCTCACAAACAATGACTGATTGATCGCGATTGCTTCTGGTGGTGTCAACCTTGATATCATCTTTGGAGTCAAGTACTCCCTCAGTTCCATTTTAAATTGCATGTTTGTCTTTTTTCTGCGTCTCAAAATAAGTTGTCCGTTAGTTATTTTCGTAAACTTTTAAGAGTAAAATATGTAAACTACCTCTAAAATAAGTACTCTTCTCCACATTATCTTATCATTTATCGTCATTCCTCTTAAAAAAGTAATTACAATTTTGAAAAATCAATTTTATTTTTTCTTTTCATTAAATATGCCCAAAAGTTAAAATAGATGATTTAAAATGGGATAGAGGGAGTAACATTTTGGGGCATTTTGGTTCTTGATAATGTGCCGTTGCGGCTTATGTTACTGGTTTATGTATTTTAATTGTCTCAAAATAATTTTTGCTTTTTATGACTCCTAAGAATTTGAGATTTACAACAATATTTCATGATACGTTATGTTTAATGTATCCAGAAGAAGCAGTAAGAAGTAAATACTCCATACCAGTTGTACATACTTCTTGAATTGAAGGAAAACACACACATAGAGCAATAAATGGACTGTTCTTAAATTTAATCGAAAACATTATATATAAAAAACTCTTAACAAATCAATCAACCATACATAACATAGAGTGCTTCTCTGGTGGACTAAAGATTCACACTCGACCTTCTCACTCTAAGAGTATTTTTTTTATAAGGGTTCGATCTTTAGTCAAGTCATGAATACATCAAACAGTGCTATCTATATATACATACTATGTCTCATGCTTGGTGTACACGAAGTCTACACCATCCCGTTATTAGCATTTCACAGCTAAACTTGTCTAAAGCGCACAACGATAAGTATGGTCTACGCCACATATTGTGAAGTGCAAAAAAACGAGTGATGAGAACTCGGCGTGGACACCTTTTTAGTGTACAAAAAAATTGGCTCATAGATTAGAAACATGTTCTTCTTCTTCTTCTTCTTCTCCTTTGATACATCCCATCTATTTCCCAGAGAGCTTCACCACCCACGCTCCACCCAAGTAAAGTCCCAAAAGTGGGCCCGCGAGAAGAACTTGGGTGAGCGGGTCCGTGGATGGTGTGAGCACAGCCGCTGCAACCACGGCCCCCACAACAACGTACCTCCAAACAGACAACATTTGATCGCCTGAAACTAGACCGGTTTGCCCAAGAAGTAGTTGTACAACTGGAACCTGCGCATTTAAACAAAAACATGTCCAGTCTATACACTTCCATTTCAATCCGCGATGTCAAGCTGGTTTTTGGTTGAGCATTTTTGAAAAAAGGAAGACAAAAAAACATGCGCGCACACATTATACAATGAGCCTGTTTGGAATGCTACAAGTGTTCTTGTAAGTACTTTCCTCGGATGACTTTTGATCCCGAAAAAAAAAGACTAAACTAGGAGTAAAGCATTGAAAATATACCAAAATAGAAGTTTTATGTTTTTATTCCCGAAATAGGAGTTAAAATGCATTTAGAGTACCAATCATGACCATATACATTACCAAAAAGTATTGTGAAATGTCCATATACACTGCTTCATTACCATGTGTGAACTCCTATTTTGGGGATAAAAACACGGAAGTTCTATTTTGATGCTTTCTCTATGTTTTACTCCTACTTAGGGTGATTTCTTTTTTTATCACATTCACATTCATACTCTGCGAAAATGGAAACCAACCTGGAAAGACAGCCCGGTGCTGAACATGAGGACGAGCACGAATTCAAAGTATTGATCAATGGACCAAAATGATTCCACTGCCCCTTGAGCATAATTTACAAAGAAGTTTAAGGCCGCGGGAGTGAGAACGTAATAGGAGAAAACAATCCCAGCATAGAAAAGCACAGATGATCCCAGCACAATGGGTGCAAGGAATCTTCTTTCAGCCTTCGTCAAACCTGGAAGAACAAAAGCTATGATTTCGTAGAGAAGGACAGGGCTTCCTAGGAGGAGGCCACAGTATCCTGACACCTGCACCAAATCATCGTATTACAATATGGAGAAATTGGACATGAACAATACAGTGAAACAATGTGAGATAAACAAGGGAGGGAGCCCGAAGCTCTATTAGGGTCTATTTAGGAACCCAAACAATGACTACAAGAAAAAGTTAGGAGGAAATCCAAACATGTCCTTAGGCCCTGTTTTACAAACAGTTAGACGTTCACATCGGCAGTATATGTTTCTGTGACAATTGTTTAAGAAAAAAATTCTTTGGCAAAATGAGCTGTTTTGTCACTTGTTTGAGGTAAAAAGTTGTAGATTGAAACAACTCTCTTCGAAAAGCTGGCTTACCAAGTTTTCTTAAATCCAACTTTTTTTATCCCAAAAAAGCTCTTTCTAAATAGCTACTCACGTGACACTTTGAGGGTGTGTGATTAATTTTATTAAAAGTGATTATTGTGAAAACAAAATCTAAAAGAATCTTTGATGTGCTTCTCAGTTTCTGTTATTTGGTCTCTTAAGACAGATGAAAATAGGAGTATCAGACATTCCCAAACAGTTCAAACTGCTTCTATCCACAATAAAACCCCAGATTTATTTTTTATTTAAAAAATTCATTCCAAACACCCTCTTTTAATAGTTGTTAGACTAATTATTGCACAAAAAAGCTCTTTTCCAACAAAAAGCTGCCCAAAAAGGCAAGCCTTAGCATGTGGGGATAAGAAATGAATGCAGAGAAGTATCATAGTAAACCATAGACTGACCTTGAGAGTAGTGAAGAAAAACTCGCCCGGGCCTAGTTGTAAAAACCGGACGCCTTGTGCACTAACAGGAGCTTCAAGGAACAATATAAGTTCCTTAGAGATGCTAAAACATCCCACCATTGCAGCACCAACAGCCAGCACAGATACAAATATCCTTTGACGCAACTCCTCTAGATGATCAAAAATGGTCATTTCTTTATCGTCTGGCAGAAGCTCTTTGCTGGGATAAAGAAAATCATAGAGAGCGCTTCCTTCCCCATCATCTGACTCTTTATTTTGAAGTTTATTTCCTTTCGAGGTGTCTGCAAAGTAATATGAGTGGAACAGTTAAGGCTCCGTTTGGTAGTCAGAGGTGGCTTTTTAAGATAATTCAACAAGTTCAGCCAAGAGCTTTTACAATGCCTCGTGCCTTGAGCATTTTACAATGCCTTTTGTTTAAAGAATCAAAAGAGAAAGGAAATGAAACTTTAAATTGCTCTACATGTTGTAAAAAAATTACATCTACAACAAAACCAACAACAACAAACCTAGTAAAATCCCATGAAAATAGGGTGTGCGGGGGGTTGTGTGTACCCCCTACTTGACTATAGAGAGACTATTTCCAAGAGATCCCCGTGACTACAAAAATTAAATCTTGAGGGGGGTACTCAAACAAGGCCATATAAGCATGTGCCCACAGAGTCACAGATGCAACAGGTGGCAAACTAGAATAGGAAAACAACATAACTCTTGGTCAAACTTTTATTCTTTTAATAAGTGAAGTGAAAATTGGCCAAGGTCAGTAGAATTCAAACTCTAATCATTGGTAAGAAACAAACACATTACACATCAACGCCTAGCAACTTTTAGAACATAGTTGAAATTGAATTTAGCTTATGTGACACAAAAATGCTTACGTAATACAACTATGCTCATGTAACACAAACGCATTGCGCACAAAGGTTCTATGCCAATTTTATGTATTTAGCCAAGACCATACTTATTAGGAGTAGTTCCTTTCCAACACAAATATTTTTTTAAAGGACACCCAAATGAAAATAAAACAACAAAAACAAAAACAAAATCTAATAGAGTTCCACAAGAAAGTAGGGTCTAGGAGTGTGTTTCCAAGAGACTTCAGCCTCAACACGAAAACACATATAGAAATATAGAATAAAAGTGCTTCTATAGTGAACGTTAGGTCCATATGACAATGATTTATCATGGACTTTAGGTCCATATAATAATCAATCGTTCTTCCCACACAAACAAATTAATAAAAAAATGAATAAAGTAAACACATCACTAGACCCAAAACACTGAGTTCTTATTAAATACATCCAGGTATACATTATTTCCCATACATCCGTATGAATATTCATTGTCGAGTAATTGAATACTCATTTTCGAGTAACAAAATACTCATTTTTGAGAAACAACTACAAACTAAGCTTCAAAACTCAACACAACTACTCTAATTCTAGCTCTAGCTCCAATCTAAGGCCATATCCACACCCCCAATTTCCCAATAATTCAATGGCTGCTGAATTAACTTACAAAGCTTATCTTCAACCGCGGAGCCAAGCCCGCCGGTGCTTCCCCGGCCCGAAGCAGCTGGTTGTTTCTCCGTCGCATCTTCGACGGCGGAGCAAACTATTCTTCCGAATCTGTTTGTGATGGAGAAGACCCGCCCGCGCTTTGTTTGGTGAGACTGTGGAACAGTTCTTTGAATGGGGAATCTGGAAATCGAGCTTGTTGTCATAAAGCGGCGGGGAGAGTTGAGATTAGGATTGGGGATGATTGCGCTCGAGCTCCCCATCTGTGTGCCTTCTCTTTCTTGATTGGATTGGTTGCCTCTCTACTCTGTAAATGAAAAATCCACTAAACAAAAAAAAATTGGTTATAAAAAAACTTGTTTCAATTACATTAAAAAAATCAATGAGATCATGTGTAAAAAAAAAATATGCCCTACATTTTCTCAATTTATGGTGAAATAGATAATTTTGTTCTTAAAAATAAATTGAAGGAAATAAATATAAGAATGTTACAAGTAGATGTTAGCCAATTATGAAGAAAAACTTGTTCATTCTAACATAAATGGGATAAATTTAGCCATAATGATGCTAGATTTAGCGACACTTTTTTGATACTATAAACTTTTTTTAGATATTAAAAGACTGTAAAATTTTGATATAACTTGGGAGAATGAGAGGTATCAATATAAAAATTCAATGTTATGATTTTTCTAATCTTTTCAGATACTTTGGTTTTTTTTATTTTAGCATTAATATAATTTTTTCAACATGCAAAACCATGTGGTATAAATGGGTAATGATAAAAATCATATATTTAGAAATTATATCATGTACGAAACAAAAATGATAAAAATCTTTCATTTTATCATTGGATGGTCATTTTGGGAGGGAGGAGTAGAGACCTAATTCAAACCGTTTCTTTCCTTCTTCTTCCTCATTATTTTCTTCTTCGCCTTCTCAGCGCCTACTTTCCCGCCATCTCACATCACTCCGCAGAAGAGCAGACCTTTCAACAAATATGGGCCGAGACAACCCGCCGGCGGAGCAAGCCCAAGTCCTGCTCCGAACCCGAATTTGCAACCCGAGTTTCGTCTTCACTCTTCTTCCCGATTCACCGGACAGCAATTACAGGTACACCTGACGACTTACTAGATCCCACCATCTTTCACCAATTCACTTTTACCATAAAGGTAAAAAAAAAGATATCTTTTAACACCGTCGTATTTCCCAGCAAATTGAAGTACATAGTATCTAGCTCAGTCACCGAAGGCTGTAACAGTTCGGTTTTGCTTCTTGGTCCCCGTGGGTGCGGTAAAATCGCGGTAAATTCTTTGTTACTATGTGACATTAGAGAGAATGAAAAAAATTGATGTATTTAATTCAATTTAATTCATATACTCCCTTGTCTCAAAAAAAATTTACCCTCTTTCAAGTGAAAAGTGAAAATGTCTCATTAGAATTTATTTAGATGTGAGAAAAGAAAAGGTGGGTTATTGTGAAGTGTTTTTTGGAAGTGGGTAAACTTAGATCATAGGTAATGACAAGTAAAAATGGAATGCCTCACGGTGACGTGAAATATTTTAACTAATCAAAATTAGTCCAGTTAGCATGTGTCAAGTGAGTGGAGTGACATTCCTTCCAATGACAAGTCATTGTTTTTGTCAGTTTTTACACTTTTTAAACATATTTTAATTATTAAAAATTATTTTACTTTTTTTTTCCCCATAAAAGTAGATGTATTCCTTTTTTAAAATCTTCTTTTTCTACAAAAAAAAAAAAGATGCATTGCAGCTGCCATGCCAAGCATGGAAAAACCTCTTAGCCACGCGAGGCAAATGCAATATTGGGATGATGTGGCAGGGCGTGGCAAGCAGTTGCCTCGCCACTGCCGGTGCTACTATGAAAACTTGTGAGCCTCGTATTCATTGCTAAAAAGAGGAAGTAAAGTAAATGGGAAGTGTTTTTTGGACATCTGAAAAGAGAAAGTGGTTTAAAGTTTTTTTTTTTGGGACAGAGGGAGTAGGTCCAATCTACTAACCACATTTTAGTTTATTTTTGTAAAGGTTCTGGAGCTTGTTCTTGAGGCATTACTAAATGAGTTTCCAGATATGATCTCAGTGGTACTAGTTTGTTTTCACTACCATTCTGATGCGATTTAAGTTGTCTCTAGGCTCTTTAATGGGCACTATTTTTGATGAAAATGGATGTGGAGTATATAAAATAAAATGCTGAAAGTGTATGGTTTTACTCCCCAAAAGCGCAGTTGCTTCTCGAAATCTGTATAAAACATTTTCCATGACAAATAGTGTTTTTGCTGTTTCAGATTAAGCTCAATGGACTGTTACATAGCGATGACAATTGTGCCTTAAAGGTTTGATATCCATTCGCTTACAAAGTTTCACCCCTCCCACCCAAATCACTCTACATCTCCCATAAAAGTCCTTATTCAGCTAGGTAAAACTTTTTTTTGTAATGGACAACAATTGAAAATCATAAATAGTAGGCTAGTAGCTATATTTAAGTTGTTTGAGCTACTATATTATTATTATTATTATTATTATTATTATTATTATTATTATTATTACTATCATCATCACCATCATCATCATTATTATGGAAAACCAATGGAGTCAAAGATTCGCTAATTTTTTTGGCTTTGGGGTATGATGGAATGAAGCAAAATGGCTCTTTGATCTGTCTGCGCTTATTTTAATAGCGAAGTAGCACTTAGTCAATGCAACTCTTGACACTCATCATGGGTCATCCAAAAACAGCCGCTCTATGTTTTAAACATAGGGGTCAGGCTGCATCATTATTACATGTGGTGCTCGAGCAAGGGGTCTCTTTGGAAAGAGCCTCTCTAATTTCGAGTAGGGGTTAGGTCTACTTAAACACACCCTCCCTAGACCCTACTTTTGTGGGATTCAACTGGGTTGTTGTTATTATGGAAAACCACAATTTATACAATGATTACTATCTATTTTGTTCAAGCATGACACTCTTGTTGGTGACCAGGGAAGTAGTATGATTTTACTCGTGTTTTAGTGAGTATTTTGCATGTCAATGAGTAGTAGTAATAGACTAGTAGTAGTAGTAGCTAACTAGCAAAACATTGTAATGATGTGTAACCAGATTTCTTGCAAAATTGTAAATGAGTAGTGGTAGTAGTAGTACCTAACTTGCAAGTTAGAGATTTCTTTCAAAGGTAGCCAGTACTACCATACCACACAATTCTGGTCATTCTCTCCTAAAATGACCAAGTACTAAAACTCATTTGCTTGATATAATCAATTGGTCCCACAGGAGATTGCAAGGCAATTATGTTTGGAACATCAGTTGCTTTTCTCAAAAATGGTAATGACTCTTTGCCTGAAATTCATTTATGCTGCTTTTTGTGGGTCTTCATTCAATCAGTGGTGCATCACAATGATTTTTCTTACAGGCATCATCTGATGATAACACTCGGTTCTTGATAGCGATTTTAAGGTATGGCCTTGCATGCGTTATGAAATCTTTTTCTACTGTCACGAAAGAGAAATGTCTCCTTTTAATCTGTCTGAACTCTGAATGCTTTTGGATGGGTGTCTCTTATTTTTTTTCCTTTTTCCTCTGGTGCATGTATTTGTGTGATGATTTTTATCAGGGAGTGCGGATTGGCTCATAAAACAGTTATATTTGTACTAGATGAGTTTGACCTTTTTGCACAGGTAAGTCCACAAGGACAGTGGCAGAAGGATGTCCCATATTAACTACAAGGTTGAAAATCGTCGCTCATGTTTATGTGGATTCATGTCTTTCCTTGTTGTTCTTTTTTCAGGGTAAACAACGGTTACTTTATAGTTTGTTAGATGCAATGCAATCTGTGACATCACAAGCTGTGGTTATTGGTGTCAGTTGCCGGTTGGTATGTTCCCCTTTCAGTTCCCTACTTCCTCTTCCTTTATGCTTATAATCAAAACAGGAGACATACCAAAACAGGAAGTCATTGGGATTATATTAGATTGTTGTATACAACTTAAAAGATGATTGATTTAGGTGGTACTTATAAAAGACTAGATAACAATAGGAGAACTTTTGAAGTAGAACTGTTTACTTCAGTGTAAAAATAGGAGAACTTTTGAAACATAACCGTTTACTACAGTGTAGAGTGTCCACAAGGCATAGTTTTAGGTGGGGATAAAAAATTTCCTACAAGATGCCAAGTGATAAAATTGTTTGGAACATGGCATTTGGTTCGGCTTTAACATATTTTAGGAATTCTGAAATAATTTCTATGCACATTGCAGGATGCTGATCAACTCCTAGAGAAAAGAGTAAGGTCTCGTTTCTCACATAGGAAACTATTGTTTTTGCCTCCATCAAGGGAAGTTTTGGACCGGTAACTCATCTTCTCATACCTTACTTTAGGACATACAGTTCAATGCATTGCTTGTTTTGACATTTGTGAATTGGATCATCAGAATTTTGGAGCAGATTTTGCAGTTGCCGAAGGACACCGGCCTTCCTACTAAATATGTAGATGCTTTCAACACCAAACTTCTTGTATCCCACTTCATATCTATAATTACTCCCATATTTGCAATTAGTTTGGCACCTTATTTTTACCATATACAAATTTTCTTTAGTTGACAATCTTTGGAAGTTAAACACAACTTTGGATTCATGAAATTCTATTTCTGTTTTTTTGTTATTGTTGTTGAGGGAAATGTAAATATATGTATTAATCACCCAAAACTGGTCAACTTCTTGAATAATCATGAAGTATATATCCCACATGAATCCATTTAACCCACAAGGTATCCTTCTTTTCATGAACATTCCAGATAACCTATGCATGCAGGGCCCTATTCCACACTTCACAATTCTTCAAGCCAAGACCCCCTTCATCCCAAGGCTTGCACATATCATCCCAACCAACCTTAGAGAAATTACCACCCCAAAGGAACTTCTGGCAAGTAGAGGTTATCCTAGCAAGGATGGCCTTTTGGACTGGGAATCTCTGAAGCCAAAAGGGCATCACCCCTTGGATAACCGCTCTAATCAACTCCACCCACCCTGCATATGACAGCATATTAGCATTCCTTCCATTCAAGTTAAGCTGAAAGGGTATGGTTATTGGTAGTTGAAATGGAGGGGGGGGGGGGGGTACTATATTTTTTAGTTCAGAGGGTTATATAGATGTTGCATTGGTGTATAGTGATAAATAAACTTCTAGGATTCTGAAATTATATTAAATTATCATTTCATATCCTTTATTTAAAACAAATGACATTAAAGCACTAATTTCTTACAATGAAACATAACCCTTACCTTCAAAAAACCCCTTTAAACCTATCTCCCAAACATAAGAGAAAAATAAAAGCAACTTGATAGTTATTTGTTTTCTTTCTATCATGCAAAATGCAATGTATTATCTTGAATCCTTGACATTATGTATTAGAGTATTTTATCAGATCGCACATTCAAAGACATTATTGATTCGCTGTGCTTCTCTGACTCAACATTCAACCAACTTTTAAAATTCTTGTGAGTTGATGTCTATTTATCAATATTTAGGTTGAAGACCTGAGGTGCAAAATTTGTTTATAGATGCTTTTCTTCTTTGGATGGTAAATCATCACACTTCACTTGGCATTAGGTTCTCTGCTGTGTCTCAAATGGATATGAAATCTGGTTTGTTATCAATTGAGAACTTTAGAACTGCACTCTCAAATACCCAAAGGCAACCCAAATTGGAGTGTTTGAAAGGTAATGGCATTTTATGATTCACCGGTACCTTGCTGGCTTGCTCCTTCCACTGCTCTATTGAGGAACATTTACTTGTACGGAGTATTATTTTATATGGTTTTTCCATTTAAATATTACTCCATGGGATCATTTTTATTCTTTGTAATTTGTGGGGTATCAACTTTAAGATTTCATACTGCTAAATTCATCTTCCATCATCTCGGATGGAGCCAAAATTTCAGCATTTTTGGCTTTGGGATGTGATGGAATAAATCAAAATGGATCTCTAAACTGTCTGTGCTTCTTTAATTAATGAAGTAGCAGTTAGTTAAGCAATGCAACTTTCGACGTTGAGCCGGGGGTCTCTTTGGAAAATGGAAACAGCCTCTCTACTTTCGAGTAGGGGCAAGGTCTGCGTACACACACCCTCCCCAGACCCTACTTTTGTGGGATTTAACTGGGTTGTTGTTGTTGTTGTTGTACTGCTAAATTCATCTTTGAAGACGTATTGTCTCTTGACACTTTTTTGCTCGTATTTCTTGAGGCTGCGTTTGGAACGCAGAGAATGGGAAATTGATCTTGGAAGACATATTGTAGTCATTTACTCATTTTCTTACTAACATTTCTAGAGGCTACTTTTGGAACACACAAAAAAACGGGTTAAGAGAATCGTGGTAATGGTTTTTAAATTCTTGGTTTATCTCAGAAAATAGGCTTATGTTACAAAGGGAGAATAAAAAACGTCTCTCTCTCTCTCTTTCTCTCTTTCTCTCTCTCCACACACACACACAGACTCACACACACACACATTGTAAGAAATGGTTTTGGTTTTGCTATTCCATTTACAACTACTTTAGTAATGCAGATTGCTCTATTTTGGAGCTGTATATTCTTGTTTGCATGAGAAAGTTGGAAGTCAATCAGCAAGAGTCTTGCAACTTCAACTCCATCATGAAAGGTTTTGCAGCAGTGTAAATATTATTCTATTATTATACAAATATCTAAATTTTCCAATTCTCTGCAGCTTATGAACTCCACCATGTTTTGCAGAGTACAAGAACATTCATGATACTTCCCACACTTCTGATTATTATGCTAGGAATGTATGCCTGCGGGTACGTCGTTAAGCCTTTACGCTTTCTTTGCAACACAAAAAATGCTAGGGGAAGAACGCATGTAGAAAATAGGAAGGAAAAATTTATTTTGGTGAAAAATAACAATAAAAGTGTCATCAATCCATTATGTATATATATTTATTCAACTTTAATTTAGTTATACTTCACTTATATTATATAAAAACTATGAAATTGAACTGCATGTTTAAAAAAAATTGAATCTTTTGGTTACACTTGAATTTTCTTTCATATTTTGCCGAAAAATTTAAAATTTATATTTGCCGAAATTTTTTGCTATGGTAGCATACAATGGTAATGTGGTGTTTATTATGCCATCTTCTTTGCAGGCATTCGAGCACCTGGTTCAGCGCGAGCTGATCTCCTTCACCGGGAACAGGGGCCAAAACCAGTCTATCGAATTCCGGCCAGTAAAGCTTCTGATCTCCTTCCATGAACTCCAACAAGGACTCAAATCTTATCCTTCTTGTCCTCTGCCTCTTCTTAGGTCATTGTAAATTGTTGTAATGGGTCACTTGTGTTTACTTTTGTGTTTAAGTGGGGGGTCTCTTAGAAAGAGTATCCCTTAATCCAAGTAAGGGCAACAGACCCTCCTCATACCCCACTCTTTAAGTTGGGAGTCTCTTAGAAACAGTCTTCCTAAATCTAAGTAAGGGTAACCACCCAACTCTTGTATGGTTTTACTTGATTTGTTGGGTAGTCTTGTTGACACTTTACTCTTTGAGCTTTTCTAATTATTATGGGAACTTTTCTTTTTCATTTACTTTGTGTATTTTTTTTCATAGTTAGGTTCTTTTAATATTAGTGGCCAAGATCATAATACGATGACATTGATCCATTCGAGACTTATATGGTCCTTTGTTCGACCTAAAAGTTATTACTATTCCCTAACTCTACTCTGGAGCTAATAATTATATCAAATCTGAAGCCAAGAGTAATCCAATGCTTGATTTTAGCTGTTGTTTTTTTTAAAATCCAAACTCGAATCGAGTGAATTTTTTGAAAAAATAGGATCTGGTCTTATTATTTTGAATTGGAATCAGAATTTTGAGAACGTGTATAGTGAATGTTTGTCATAAAAAAATTTGATCTTGAACTTAATCGATCTAAAATACTCTTAGCCAATTTTTTAAATTTTGACAAATGTTTCATTTAAAAAATTTAAAAATGATTTAAAATATCTTGACTCAGTCCACTACTCAAGTTTAAAATTGTTTATGGCTAATCTACGATCTACATATCTTTTGTAAAAGATTGGAGCAAAACAAAGGATTCCAATATTTCTGTAAGGTTGTCCAAACTTAGAATTATTGAAAAGAAGAATTCAAGGTAAAATCGAAACAAGTAAAATTATTTTACAGAGTAATTAAAATTTAGGTGAATAAAAGAAAAATACTCCCTCCATCCTTAATTATTTGCTCTCTTTCAAAAAACGTATAAAATCTTATTAATTTTAAAAAGTTTTTAATTACAAATTGGGATTAAACTAAAAAGTACTCCGTATATCTTAGATATTTTAAAAATATTCAAAAACTCTATAAAACAAGTTGTAACATGTATATTTTATTTTATTAAATGATTAATAAAAACTCTCACACAAACAAAAATTATTGGAATCTCCATATAATAAATAGGCCAAATTATTAGGACGGAAGGCGTAAGAGTGAAAGACATTACTCCTTATCTGTCATTCATGAGTTGTGCTCCTTTACATCAAGATCCGCATGTGAAATACGTAGTAAATATTTCTCATACTTTCAATGAACTGACAAATACGGAGTATATTTTTTTTTAAGAAGGTTCAATTTTTGAATAGTGTTTATATACGGAGTATTAAAATTTTCCATCATTTCAATATTTTCTTTAAAAAAATTATTCCCTCCGTCCCGGAGTTTTCGTCCACTTTTGACTTTTGGAATTGTTCATTTAAGCACTTTGACTCATCAAATTCTCTCAATGTGTAAGCCTAAATATAGTCATACGTGATCTTGTTTGATTTGTCTTAACATATATATTATTAATACTCTGTATAATTTTTTAATATACAAATTACAAGATAAAATGAATTAAAGAAGTATATTAGATGGTGTCTAAAAATGAAAATAGACAAATAGTCTGGGACGGAGCTAGTAAAATTCGTACTGTATTTTGGAATGGTAGGAAAAAGAAAGTAAAAAATTTACTCCATATTTTTGAAAGAAAATTGGGCAACTGTGAACCCTAAACAGTCAGCTTCCGCAGTCCCCTTCATCTCTTCAAACTTTCTTGTTTTCGCCTCCATCTCTCGCCGTCATTACCGTGCCCCGCCACCAATCACCGCCCATCCTCGATGCCGGACCTAACGACCACTCGGCGCCGTCGATCTAAGGGTAAAACCCCTTCGATTTCGTCGTGTTATAATGGCTTTTACTTCATTTTATATTTCTTTTTCTTTTAGTTCAGTTCCAATTTACTTGCTCCTTTATCTATTTTCTAGTTTCCTCACCTCCGTAAGTCCCTATATATCATCTTATATATTTTCGTTTTAGTTCAAAGTTTGAATTTCAGTTAAATTTACACCAATGGTTCCTCTGTTTCTAGTTTTTTTTCCATTCCCGTCCCTGTTTTTTTTCATCATCTTTAATTTTCTATCATAAGGTTTCAGATGATTATCTTGCAAAACATTCTCTAATTACAGCTGGTCACATATTTGAATGAATGCTTACAAATGGTATGCAGGTAAGAGTGAAATTGCCAAAGGAGTTGATGAATGCAATGACGATTCGAGTGAGCCAACTATGGGCGAAAAACTTGCGAGTCTTAATCTGGTTAGTGTCAATGAAGTCAAAGAACCTTCGGCAGAAGCGAAGCCTCCAAGTGCAGATTCAATTCATGTACTGCTTAAACAAGCACTGAACGCCGACGATCGTGCCCTTCTGATAGATTGCTTGTTCAGACAAGACGAGAAGGTCTTATTGAGTTATATATTCCCTTCGCAGTGTTTTATTTTGCATTGGCTACTAAGTTCTTTTTTCTGTTTTTGGGAGCGAATCACAATTTATATGTGTCTTGCAGGTAATCACAAACTCTGTTGCTTCACTAAATCCTTCTGATGTTATCAAGCTTTTGAAGTCCCTTGTTTCCATAATTCAGTCAAGGTAAAAATAATAAAAAAATCACTTTTCCCACCGTTGTAAAGCTAAATGCACTTTGTGCACCACTAATAGTACACTTTACTAACCAACAACAACAACAACCCAGTATAATCCCAACTTCGTTGGAGTTTGAGGGTCAAGATATAGACAGTCTAAACCCTGTAAGAACATAGAGACTGTTTCAAATAGACCTTAGATGCATTGCTGCATTTACTGCTCAAAACATCAGAGAGTTAGAAGCTAGGAAAGTTTAATGTGCCTTTTACTTAGTCCATTATTATATACCCTAAACATTTAAACTAATCAATGGAGTAAAACATACCGAGTAGTAAAATAGCTAATTTTTCCTTCCATATGTATTTTGTTTTTGCTTCTTACTATAAATGTTCGGGGTGCGTTTGTCAATTAATGAAAAATTAGTTTTATACCTTCAAAACTACAATATTTCACGGATGGACAGTTATTGGAGTAATGGTAGCTAGTGAGGTAGTGTTTAAAGGGTAGGCCTGGACCCCGGAGCAACAGATTTAGAATCTTTGTCCCGGAGTTCCCCTTTAAGGCTTGGGCCGGACTTCTTGCAAATAAGCAAGGGAAAGGCTTTCTTGGTTATCCCTTATTCCGGGAATGTGTGACAGCTTCAACATTGGGTACATTCTGTTTTAGGGAGAGGGTGTTTGAGATCAAAGTATATAATTATGATGAAGTTTTTCATTTGCAGGGGTGCTCTATTGGCTTGTGCTCTTCCTTGGTTGAGAAGTGTACTTCTTCAACATTCAAGTGGAATAATGTCTCAAGAATCTTCTTTCATTGCTCTCAATTCTTTATATCAGGTAAGAATCGTAAGATCAGATATCTTATTTGTTTTTGGTGGTTATAATCGGTACTTGAAACAGAACTTTATGGGTCCCCTTGGATCTTGGTAAATGACATGCAAAGAAAATAGAGAGGGAAATATAGGGCAAATTGGAAAGGAAAAAAATGTGGAGGAAAACAAAGCATTAGTTCAAAATCAACAAAATTTTTCTTTGATACATGTTCAAAGTTCCAACATGCTTTATTTATTTACATAATAAATTTATACCGCGTATATAAGGCTTGGTGTTTTCTAAGGTAAAATCAAACTCACGAATTTTCCCTTTTGGCAATTTTTTCTTTCCCCTAGCATTGTAAGAACCAAGAGAAGTTTAATGAGTCATTTTGGTTTAGTCCAGTATATACCTGAAGCTAATACATTGTAAATAATGATTTTTTTTAGCTTCATTGGCAATGGACGAGGATTCACCATTAACTATTAACTTTTTTCTGGACGGCATGATAAACCAAGATTTCATCATCTTTTTGTTTTGTTTTGTTTGTTTGTTCTCTCGGCAAGGAATCATTTTCGCCCTAAACTATTAATTGATGCAATTTGCAGCTCACCGAATCCCGCGTCTCTACTTTTAATCAAGCTCTTCAGCTATCAAGTAGCTTGGATTTGCTCTATGCCAGAGTAAGTGTGTGATACCAATACAATTAAACCCCTCAGATTCCTTTTTTTAAAAAAAATAATTTGGACATTCATCCAATTACTCGTGAGTCTACATTACATGTATACAGAGTATCTTTTAAGACACATTTTCTGTTTCAATGCATAGACGATTGGCTATGGCTCAGATGAAGATGATGCTGTAGCCCCTGTTGTCTATCAAGACAGCGAAGGTGATGATGATGGAGGTGAAAGTGATGAAGATGAAGAGGATGGATCTGTTGTTTCCATGGAAACAGAAGGCAATGCTGAGAACCAAGAACCTCACGTGTTCAGTGACAACAGCGATTTCGAATGAATCAGTAAAGTTGGACTTGGAATCAGGCACGTCGGGAACCATAGATTTATGTCAGGGCAGATTTTGAAATGAGAAAAAAATGAAAAAGCTCATGTGTGAAAACATGTTCTAGGCCCTATATTTGGTTTTTGAGTAGTAACTTTGTTATAAAACTGGTACTAAATTTGATTTTTCATGATCAAGAGTGCAAAACTTTGATAATGAGTACATATTTGTATACTCAATTAATTTTATAAAATTTCAATGATGAGTCTTTGAAAAATTTGAGTATAAATTGAATTTTTGCAAAAATTCAATTTATGTTTTATTTATGCAAAAAATATCGAAGGAAAGCATAAAGTGAATTTTTGTACTAAGTTTCATTTTACTCAAATTCACTTGATAGTCGATACGTTACCCCTTAAAAATAGAGTAACAGACTCGACTAGACCGTTGATGGTTTATTGAATTTACTTTCCAATATCATATACTCCATAGAACGTAAAAAAGCAAGGGAAGTTTATTTTTCATTTTGATTTAAATCATTTCGTGACTGAAATTTAAACATTGTCAATTATGAATCTTTGAATCCAAAGTACCAATATTATGCCTTCTGAACAATACAATTTTTGAATTACATCTCAGAAGAGAGCAAAACATAAAAGACTAATTCTCTCTAAAAACATTCAATCCTTAAACCCCCTCTAATATCCTCCAACCACAAATCACAACCCATTTACATCACAGCAAAACTTCATTTACTATACACACAATCTAAAAAAACAGGGGAAAAGAATCAAAGAATAAAGGATCAAACTCCAAAAAAAACTCATCGTCGTTTTCTCGTCATCAATTGCCATGACCAAACAGCTAAGAATGTGACAAGGCCAACCCCGACGGATGTCCAAAACACTACTAACCACTTGGGCATCGGTTCCGGGAACAATCCTGCAAAAGATATTATGATTGAATTGGCACCCAAAGTTGATCATACATGAAGATCACGGTTCTTTTGACACGGTTTGGATGTCATAATATGACACTGGGGTGCTACGGTATTTCGTTGGACCCCGAAGTCATTCCTACCCCCTAACCCTCCATCATAATATGACTTTGGATGTCACAATATAACTCTGCTCTCCTAGCCTACCTCTAGATAGTCGATGTGCTACAATATTTTGGCGAGGGAAAATATCTAATTATCTATCTAGATATAAAACATGCTCAATATACAAAAATGAGAGTATACGTGTTTTTGTGCTAAAATAGGATAATAATGTGAAATAATGTAAAAATATAGTGTCAAAAATACTATAAAATGTCAATACACAATGCCAGATTGTGGGTATTTTACATTGTCGACACTCCTATTTAGAAAAAAGGTAAGAGATCTTATTTTGGTATAAACTTCATATTCTAGTCTTATTTAGGTAAATTTCCTCTAGAGCGCTAGGTGAGCGGGGGGTTATGAGGGGTCAGAGGAAGTATGAATCATTTCAAAATATAACAAAAGACCATAAGACACTCAAACGATCGGAATCATATTATGACACACGGGTGGATATCAAAAGAACCTTGCGCATAAACGGATGGATAAGAAAAATGGCGACCATAAGAACATACCGTGCCCAAACTTTATGCACATCAGGAGTTCAACAATACAAATAGCAAGTGACAACCAACAAAATGATCCCACCTTTTTCACTGGCTTTCTGCTCATCCCAAAAAAAAATCAATGTTAAGAAAATGAGTGCACAAAAAAAGGGCTGCAAATCTAAATTTTCGCCGCGGTTTCAGAAGAAAAAAAATTACCTGTCCTGCAGGTAAGAATTGTACTCGCGGATGGTCGGTATTGCGATTAGCCACCACAAGATCAATCTGTATATGATGAGAGGGTTTCTTGGAGGTATCCAAAGGCAAAACTTAAGGAAGAACGTGTTCAATTCGACCGTCAAGAACCCAACACATAGACTCAAGACTTGAAGAAACCGCCAAGGACCAAGGAGCGGATGCCATTCATCTTTGTCCCAACATGCTGGCGTGAATTGCCCGAGTGTCCGTTTCACCTAAAAATAATCATTTTAAAAAAAAAAGTTTCAAATCAAACCGAACAATGAGACTTATAAGTTTATATTATATAGTTTAGGATTTGGGATTTAGGAAATACATACTTTGCCTATAATGTTTGGTTGTTGGCTTATACCAACCCACTGGTATGTTTTTCCATCGAAATACCTAACGGTTCGCATCCCTGCCCATATACCTGTTGGGAACACACATTACCTGTTAGTACATCATGTAAACACATGCCTAACAGAATGCATTACTCTAGGATTTTTGGGTCGTGTTTGGATACACGTTTTGGCTCCTAAACCAATGTTCAACTGTTTTAGGTAAAACAAATCGTTTGCAGGAACATTTCGATAATACTCAAATGTAAAAAAAAACAAAATTGATTCTCACCAAACCAGTTGCAGATGAATATGTCAAGAACAATGCTATCCCACCAACACTCGTTGAAATTCGGTAGCATATGGCGGAAGGTAAGCTTAATGACCAAAACAAAAAGATTAGAGAAGGCTTTGAACACTCATCTTAGCAAATATATTTCTGAAAATAATCAAAGTGTAATCCAAACGGCGCTTGGGCCAAGATTTTCTACCTCCATCAACTCAAAGCCAATTGATAGGACCCATAATAGGGGCTGGTTTCTAATCATTATGGCTTTTCCCCACCACCCAAGAATATGAGCTACAACAAACTCATCAAACAAGGTATCCTGCAAGCAATGCAAAACAAACCAGATAGATATACACGATCAAGGGCAAAAATGGAAAGATTTTTTTAAGGATTGTAAGTGTCGGAACATACATAAACATTCTTGAACTTGTTGGTTCTACTTTCAGGTATGTAGATTCTGCAATCAACACCATATGATCTTTCAGGAAGTTCTGCACAAGCAACAACAACAAAAACAGTAACATCCCACAAAAAGTGGAGTCTTGGGAGGGTGTGTATGGAGACCTTACCCCTAAAGTAAAAAATAAATAAATAAATAAAAATCTATTTTTGCATTGATATTCCAAGAAAAGGGTATTACCAAAACCAAGATCAGGATGTAGATATTTCAAGAACTGGCGAGCATCGTCACGCTTCTGAGAGAAGAAGATTGACAAGATCATACAAAGTCAAAGAACAATCAGTCATACTTTACTTCACAAAAGAAACGAAAAAAAAAGAATCTCATTATCTCAAGAAGAACTTACCTGAAAAAGAAAAAATGTCAATAAAACGAGGTATATGACAGCCATTCCATGGACAAGGCGCCAGATGGCAGGATGGGGTCTCGTAAGAACCCTGCAATGAAAAGTACTTGACATTAATGCGTTAAAAATAACCACTCATTAATACAAAGCAAAAGAGCATTTGGATTAAGCAGATGCAAAAGTAAATTCTCATAACAAATCAAAGGTAATGACTTACGTTGAAGGGGCTTGTAGTAAAGAGTAAGCCAGGTATACTGCAACCATTGCCCATACTCCCCTATTAATTACAAGAAAAAACAACTCTTTAAACTTGTAAGAATATGATTTGGCTTAATCAACACCAAAGAGCTCTAAGATGGCGATGGTTGTCCAAAACTTCTTTTTAGAGTGCCTTGAAACAATGGAGGTGAAAAAGCACAAAGCTAAAAGAGAGTGAAAAAACCTTTTCACAGAAACAGAACGATCACTAGTTGAGGTGCTTTCTGGATCAAGAGCTCCACTGGCCCAACTGAAAGATGTTGACATAAACAAATCAGGGTCTTAAAGAGAAACATGTTTAATGTCAGAAAAATGCAGGGGGGATAACAATTGATTAAAAGAAAATGTGTGAAGATGCTGAAATCAAGAACATCAAAGGAAAGCAATTGTGTATCGTCTCATAAAGGAGGGAACTTTGAAGTCCCCAATATGATCTTTGACATACAAATGATGTTAGCCGAGGAATATCATGTGTATAGGGCATTCTTGAACTCCTTTTGATAGATCAATACAACAAAATCCTTCTCTCTTCACAATAATAGTTAATGGAAAATAGCTCCTTATTCAGACCCAATGAATGCATGAAAACAATACTTTCTAATTGTAAAGAAATCTCGACATAATTTCTGAAATGCTAAATAGAACTTTGGGATGCATATAATTCTTCCAAATCAGTAATAGACTGAAAATTTGATGATATAAAGTAGACATGTATTGAAATATACTTCAGAAGAAACATTCACTTGAAATTTTCTATAAAAAAAAAAAAGTTTAAGAAACTATGGACCTATAGGGAGATTGAAAACTCACATGAGAAAACATGCGCCGATAAAAAGCAATGTGATTGTATGCGGTTTGTATGCCCAAGCTGTCCACGGATCCAATTCATCAACACAACTTGATATGCTCAAGTGACCATTTTGGATAGAAACAACGTTCTTTTTGCTACCCCTTCTATGACCATTAGTCTCCATATAAGCCGGCTCTACCAAAACTCGGCTTCTCAACTGCATATAAACCATTTCAGAAGACAAATGAGGCTGGTCATACAAGTAAGAAAAGCTAAGGCTGACCACCATAGAAATATTAAGGTAACTTATGGAAAGAAATAAAGCTATCCCATCAATAAAAAACCCAAATTAATCTTATTTTGTTGCATGTATTTGTAGTGTTTATAAGTTTTACAGTGATTATGATGATGATCATTTACCTATCTAATGGAAACTTAAGCAGAATCAGAGTGCGGTGGCAGTTTACTTAGAACTTAATTATCTCTGTTTGATGAGAAAACAACCTCCTGAAGATTATTCACAAATGCACATGGTTTATAAGAAAACTCAGCCCAAATAAAAATCAACCCTGAAAATGAGCTCCAACTCACTTTCTACATGTACTAATGTTATTCTTATTAATTTTCTTTAATTTACTAAAATAAAAAATTGAAATTTTGTATCACAGATTAGGCAAAGTTCTACAATTGGAACCGATAAAACTCGTATCAAATGGATTATTGGCAGTAGACTGGTGTGGGAGTGCCACCATTAAAAAGCAAACTAAAATGATTCATGAAACTGATTAAATCAATCAATAAATCATTATAAACTTAAAACCTACTTCGAACTTCCATGCACAAAAACCTTAATGAAACTGGAAAAAAAAATCAATTCATCACACACAAGAATTTCCAGCCAACCTTTTACATCAAACAACACAAATTATAACCAGATAAAAACAAAGAA